GACAAAATTTGTGGTCCAGTGCAGTGGGTTTTCTGACAGCAATTTACCCCTGATGTATAAAGTGATTGTAGCTTCCAACGTGCCCAAAACCACCAAAGTAACTTCTGTGGAGGAAAATACATTTGGTGCCATTTTGTACTTCGATTACGAACCTAAAACTCCTCCGTCTTTTCTCCCAGCTGCAGCACCCTCTCAGAAGGACACCTTGACACTTTACGTTCAAGTCCACAACTCCCTTGGGGTCTTTACCCAAGTGACTTTATATGTCCATGTAAAGAACCCAGCTAAGGGTCGAGCACCAGCTGAAGTGCTCCGTCAGCTGCTGAGCTCTGTGAGTGGTTTAAACGCGCCAATGGCAACTTATCTCCAGAGTAAAGATTATTTTGGTGCAAGTTATCTGGGTTACTTGGCAGCCTCCATCTTAAACTACATTAAAGCTGAACCAACTCTCATGCACTCTAAGACTCAGCTTCGGGAAACCCTGATTGAAACAGCCCTGAATGTTTCCATGGAGAGCACAATGGAAATCAACCAAGTAGTTGCCTCTCTTTCTCTGGCCACAGAGGAAGCTGCTGAATTGAACAGCAGATCACAAGACCTTGCCATTAAGAAACTGGCAGAAGCAACTAAACTGCTCAAAAATAATGAGCCCCATTGGTCTGAGGAAGCTGAAATTCAGAGCAGTGGAATATTAAGGTCCTTGTCCAACATCCTGAGAGCTGCTCTTCTGCCTCATGAGAATGTCAAAGCAAGTCGAGTTAAAGACGTTGTCTCCATCATGGAAAATGTAACGGATGTAGTTTTCCAGGGCAAAGTCCCGGGAGAAACAGACACTCATGTGGAAACAAAGAACTGGACTATCACGCTGAAGAAAGAAGAAAGCCAGAACATTGCAGATTCTTTCTCTACCAAAGACACCTGCAAGAACTGCTTTTATCCATCACTGAAGAAGGGGGGTGTTTCGGGAGTGCCCGAGGATGCCGTGATTTCCACTGCTGTTTATGAGTTTGACGAAAACCCCTTCCCTTGGTTAGGTTCCACGTCAGAAATTGGAACAACGGTCTTGGGGTTCAAAATGGCAGAGACCAAAGCCAATGGGGAGCTACAAGGGATCATGCCTGAAGGAGCAGAAATTACTATTGCTAGGAAAGACACGCAGTTTTCAACTTTTCAGCTAGCAATGGGACCCAACAAAAAACAAACTTCTACAACTGGAGGATTTACTGTAGAAGTCAACAGAAATACCAAGCGCATGTACTTCCAGATCCTGACCAAATTAAAAGTTGCCTTCAAGGTGCTGATCTTTAAGGGCACCAACGTCACTCACACTCATCCCATAGCCTCCTTTGATGCTTTTCACAACATGCCAACAGTTCCAAGCAAAAATGAGACAGCAATCATTGACTGTAACGTTAAGACTCCCTACATTGTCTGTCTCCCACAGACCGTGCTGACAGACGCAGCTCAAGGAATCACAACAGACACGTATAACATCTCCATTGTCCTGGAGGCACCCTCTGTCGTAAGGCATAAGACCCACGATCTGGTGAGCATTAATGTTTTTAGTGATCAGTGCGTGTTTCTGGATGGGATTGAAAGTACCTGGAGAGAAGACACATGCAGGCTTGGCTCCTTGACCGACTGGCAGAGGGTACACTGCATTTGTGATATGAAGCAGACTGAGTTCAACTACACTGCCCCAGATGGATCCACGTTCAGCATCAGGTTCTTGGCAGCCAAAGTTCTCGTTACTCCCAACAGAGTAGATCTGGGAAAAACCCTGATAGCAGACATACCTGAAAACCCAGTGACACTCCTCACGGTGCTCTTCATTTTGGCCCTCTACTCCCTTTTGTCCCTCTGGGCCATGAGAAAAGACAAGGCTGACAGGGAGGGCAAAAACAGGATTATCGTTCTGCCAGACAACGACCCCTTTGACAAGCTGAGCTTTTTGGTCACTTTATACACAGGCAGTCGCTGGGGAGCTGGAACCACAGCGGATGTCTTTCTTCAGCTCACTGGCCAGAGAGGAACCAGTAACGTCCATTGTTTACGGCACCCATGTTGTCAGTCTTTCCAACAAGGAAGCATTGATTGCTTTCTGTTAACAACTAAAATGGACCTGGGAGACATTTGCTCCTTCAGGGTCTGGCACAATAACAAGGGCCCATCTCCAAGTTGGTTCTTGAGCAGAGCCAAAGTTGAGAATATGTCCACCGGGAAGACCTGGTTCTTCATGTGCAGGAAATGGCTCTCTCTCGAGAAGAGTGATCACCTACTAGAAAGGACATTTTCCGTCACCAACCTCAAGACACCTCTGCCCAGAATTGACTTTTTTTTAATTGATCTTGCCAACAGCCTGGCAGCAAGCCATACGTGGCTCTCCATTTTTGCTAACGTTGTCATTGGCCCTTTCAGCAGACTCCAGAGGTTGTCTTCTTGTTTAGCAGTATTATTATTAAGCTTGTTTCTTAACATTATCTTCTTTAATGCTGGCAACATAGAAGACTCTCCAACACACTTGACGTATCTGAGACCAATTGCTGTAGGGATTGAGTGTGCGTTTCTTACCATACCTGTGGAAGCAATTATACTTGCCTTATTTAAGTATTCCCCAAAGGAACCTTCTTCTCATGGTGTGGCTCAGACGGACCAGAAGTTAAGTTCACCATCTGGGAAGTTCCTGTCTGGAAAACTTCAGAACCTGAAGGAACGTCTGCAAAAACGGTACCGTTCGGAAACTTCAGCACAACTGAGGAACATTAGTCCACTGGAGAACCTTCCTGGTCCCAGCAACTCACAGAGCCCACCATGTTCTGGAAAGACAGGTCCCCAAAACAGGAACAACTGCACAATTTCTGAAAAAGATGCAAATATAATTGGAAGAGAGGAGCAGGCGACAACCGCAAATTCCCCTCCGATGTCTGAGGCCTGCCAGAGAAGGCCACCGTCAAACTCTGGTTTTAGTAGTAACTATGCAGAAGTAGAGGGCAACTTGCAGAAGGAGAGGAAACCACTAAGCATTACTTCCCCACCCTCTCACAAGAGACAGCACAGAGTTTTGTGGTGGTGTTCCGCCTACCTCTCGTGGGCACTAATTATAGTTGTCACTGGGGTATCATCATTCTTCATTGTGCTCTATGGTTTGTCTTACGGCTATCAGACTTCACTAGAGTGGCTTTTAGCATCTGCAGCCGCCTTTATTAAGAAAGTGCTTTTCTTCCCAGTTCTAAAAAGCAGTCTTTTCACAGCCTTCAGGACAGTCTCTCCAAAATACTGCGAAAACATAATGTGGTTAAGTCCGCAAAAGCATCCTGAGATGAAGCTGGCTAAAGACACAATGAGTGCTGACAAGATAAGAGAGATGCACATGAAACTTGCTAAAATCAGAGGCACCAAGCAGTATAAGCCTTTGGAAGCTGATGAAATTGCAAAGATGCTGAAAAGGGCAAAAATTAAAGCCAAAGCATTTACTTGCACCATAGGTTTCATCAGTCACCTTGTCTTTTTAACACTGCTCTTAAATTCTGCCTGTTCCAGTGAGAACACCAACAGCTTCCTCTACAACCGGTTCATCCACAGCCAAGTCTCTCCACGACTCTCCAGCGTAGAGAAGCTAGACCACATCTATGTGTGGGTGAAAGATGTGCTCTTGCCTTTGATCCACAATGAAATTCAGCCAACCTTTCTTCCTGACAGCTGGTCCAAAATCATTGGCTTGCCTAGGATGAGGCAAGTGCGAGCCAAAGGTACGGAGAAAAAATGTTTCCATCCTTACAGCTTTTTAAATAACTTTGTGATCAGTAAAAGCCACTGTCTGCACAAGTATGGCAGTGATATCCCAGAGGAAGGTGACTACGCTGGCACTTGGACAAAGCTTGCCAACCAGTCAGTTCCCAAGGACAACAGCAGTTACAGCGGGTTCACGTACCAGCCAAACAGGACTCCATGGACGTATCCTTCACATGGAGATTTGCACACATACGGACCAGAAGGATACACATTTTACTTTTTCCCTGAAGAAGGAAGTCCTAATTCGACAACGAGGCTGGATGCTCTACAGCAGAGCAACTGGCTTGATGACAAGACATGGGCTGTGATCATGGAACTAACAACATTTAACTGTGATGCAGAGCTCTTTTGCACAATCTCAGTCATATTTGAAATGTCTCACTTTGGGATCTTAAAACCAAGTCTGGCAGTACACTCTTTTGCACTGCCCATTTTTCACCAGCAAACTAGAGCTCAAATGGCTGTGTTTGTCATTGTTGTTGCCTTTCTGTTAATTTACATTGCAGAGGAGCTGCACACCATCAGCCAAGAGAAAAAAGATTACGTGAAGAACATTTCCAATATCATCAGCTTTGGCTTTAAAGCAGTATTCCTCCTGGCTGTTTGTTTAAAGGTCATGAAGTTTAAGGTTGGAGCAGATATAGTGAAGTTTTACTTACTTCACCCAAATGATTTCATTCCTTTCCACGCCGTTTCTCATTTGGACCAGATTTTACGGATTACTATGGGCTTTTTAGTATTTCTTGTCATTTTGAGAACTCTAAAATATGCCAGGTTCCTTCATAATGTGCGCCTGGCGCAAAGATCCCTCTTGGCAGCCCTTCCCGCCATCTCCTCCATGGCCCTGGTGCTGGTGGTGCACATTTTTGTGTTTACAGCTTCTGGCTACCTTGCCTTTGGGCAGCATGAGTGGAATTACAGTAACATGATTCGCTCAGCTCAGACCATCTTCTCCTTCTGCATCTCAGCTTTCAGAGATACTGCCTTTTCATCCAACAGGCTGCTGGGTAGTCTCTTCCTAGCCTCCTTCACGGTGGGGATGCTCTGTGTCCTGATCAATCTCTTCCGTGCTCTTGTGGTGTCTGCCTATAGAGACACGAAATGGCGCAACTATAAGGAAACATCTGATGAATCAAAAATTGTTGCTTTTGTATTTCAAAGGCTCAAGCAGGTGTTTTACCCTCTGACCTGCAAAAAATCCAAAACCATTTGGCCTGGCTTTTTTGCCAGGGTACTCAATAGGCAGCCTGAGAGAAGACCTCAGCAACATTTGGGGCTCAAGACCAGAAAAATAAATGGGAGAAAAATGGTTTATCTTGTCATATGAGTGAGGAAAGGTTTTGTACTAAAGAGCTGGACTCTCTGATACTCGTGTTTCAAGTAAGTGCTCATAAATAAACTATTTATTTTTTAAAAGCTTCCATTGCTCCACTCCGCTTTCTTGCTAAGCACGACCTTCTGTCTCATGGCATTACTAAACCCATACCAGGTAGAGCCAGCACACACGGGAACTGGTGCCCATTTCACAGAGGTGAAGCACCAGGCGTTAGCTCAGGAGTTGGAGTGGAACTCTCGCCTCTGGCGGAGCACAGGCTGAGGTAGGAACAAAAATGGTCTGAAAACACTGATAAATGCTTCCTACTCAGAGCATAAGGACTTAAAAAGACAGCACAAGGTAGCAGGTTGTAACCCAGCAATTTGAACATACAACTTCACAACACTGCTCTGCATTGGTATGCAGAAGGTTTTCTTACCCTGTCCCTCGGTACTACAGATTCCCACTATATAGCCAGGGTGGTGGGAGGGGGCATTTATTAGTAGTTTTCTGTCTTGTAAAACTGTCCCTGCACACTGGTCACTGTGTGACCTCTTGTAAGGAAAGACTGTCCAAGTCAGCTGGGGAGACTGGTTGACTGGGTGAAAGCCCTCATTTCTTATTAATAAAGCTGGGGGCAGTCTCCAGGCAGTTCAGCAGTTTTTTATACAAACACACCACAGGACATAGATAGATAGATAGATAGATAGATAGATAGATAGATAGATAGATAGATATAGTATGTGCTTTACTTAGAACGGGGCAAAATTCCTGAAGCATCTAGAGAGTTCCCTCTGCTCGTTATAGTATCATTGAACTATGAAACATATGTCACCAGTGCCTAGGCTGCCTTTCTCCAAGTGAAGGCCCTGATCCACCACGCATACACCATCAATTCCCTGGGTGCCCTACTTTTAAATCCAAGCAAGAAATTCACTAACCAATAAGAATAGAATAACCAGGAATGGGTATTAGCTAGGTGGGGCAAACCAGCCAAACGTGTACAAAGGCACAGAGCTTTGTGACTGGGGGAACAGCTCTATGGGTATGCAAATCTCACTTTATGCCCAAAACCTTCACTAAGTCTTG